AGGACAGCCAGACCCCGAGGTGAGACCCCCTCCTCTAACCCCTCATTCTCCCCCCCCAGCGAAGCCGACGTCCCCATCGACGTGGAGACGGTGACGCCCACGCCCGTCCCGCTCTACGACAACCAGAAGGCGCGCAGCGTGATGAACGAGTGCGAGCGCCACGTCATGTTCGCTCGCACCGATGCTGACGCCCCCCCGCCCCCCGATGACTGGGAGGAACATGTCAACAGGTACCACGGGGGGACAGCAGAGAAATTTGGACACTGAACAGCCACCCGTTGGGTGCTGTGGGGGTTTTTTACTGTCACTCCATACGTTGTGATGTTCCTGAACTGAATTATAGTTGAAGAAAATGAATTGTGGTGTTTAAATTCACATTCCTGTGGGGTTTAATGCAGAGGCTGGCACAGTTCAGGGGAGACTGGGATGGTGAGTTAGTAAACGACACGTAGATCCCCAATTCAGCCACATACTGAAGTCAAACATTAAAAATGAAGCTACATATAAATTCCACCCTGTTAAAAACTGCTGGTAAGTGGACTCAAGCCAGTTCGGAGTCTGGATGTTACGAGGAATGTGTGTTGGTTTTTGTTTGTTTTGGGTTTTTTTTTCCTGCACACTTTGATTAAGAAATGGTGATAACATTAGTTGGGAGAAAAGGAGGCTGAGGGGAGACCTTGTGGCTCTGTCCAAGTCCCTTGGAGGAGGGTGGAGAGAGGTGGGGGTGGGTCTGTTCAACCAAGGACCAAGGGACAGGACAAGAGGAAATGGGCTCCAGTTGTGGCCAGGGCAGTTGAGATGGGATGTGAGGAAGAATTTCTTTGCTGCAAGGGTTGTGAGGCATTGGAAGGGGTTGCCCAGGGCAGTGGTGGAGTCCCCATCCCTGGAGGGATTGAAGAGTCGTGTAGACACAGTGCTGAGGGACATGGGTTAGTCATAGGGGACTGGTCAGTGTTGGGTTCATGGTTGGACTCCATGAGCTTAAAGGGCTTTTCCAGTTGTGAGGCAGTTCTGGGATTCTTGCTTTTCTCATACTTGGACATTCACCATCACACCCTCGTGGTGTTTAAAACCTGGTGGTTTTTATTGAACCCTCCTCTAAATTAAACCCTCGGTAACAAAACTCACCTTGTCTGTGGCCATGAATCAGCTGCTGAAGCTGCGATCGCAGCCGATGCCCCGTTTTGCTGCTGACTCCTTTGGGAACAGGCCTCAGCTTGCAGGACCTGGGTGTCTGTGTAACGGTGACTGATGTTCCCTCTCTGGATTTCCCAACAGGACGGGTTGGACCATGGCCCAGAACAAACTGTTTAACAAGATTCACAAAGCGCTGCAGTCTGACCGCCTGGCTCGCTTGGCCAACGAAGGGGTGAGCTCTCTTACTCCCTGTTTCCCTCCCCAGCAGAGTCGCTGCCTGTGTCTCTGTCAGTCCTTCCTGGCAAAGCCTGATTGACTCAAGATGCAAATCTTGGCCTTTGTGTTGTTTAGTCTTAAGCAACAGACATCTCTGGGCTTCTTTGAGGTGTGATTTTGTCCTCACTGTTGGTCTTTGCTACCAGAGGACTTTGGGCTGCTCAAGCCAATCCTTTCCTGTGGTGTGGGATCCACGTGACGTGCTTAATTTTTCCCCTAACTGTATTTCTTTTGAATTCCCTGGTTTTTAGGCTTGCAACGAGCCAGTCCTGAGGAGGATAGCGGTGGACAAATGTGCTCGGAGGGTCCGCCAAGCTCTGGCTAGCGTGAACTGGGACACCAAACTGATCCAGTGGCTTCACACGACCTTAGTGGAAACGCTGAGTCTGCCAGTGCTGGCTGCTTACTTGGATGCTCTGCAAACGCTCAAAGGAAAGGTGATAAAAGCAGTGACAGGCTTTGCTGTCACTTAGAATGTTCTCCCTTTGTAAAGCTCGTTAAAAGAAGCTGATGGAGACTTTATCCTTTTGGGGATGATGTTTAAAAGCCACTTGGACAGCCTGTGCGTGGTTTTCTCAGTCCTTTCTGGCCTCTGGTTTCAGATCCCCACCCTGATCGACAGGATGCTGCTCTCCTCTACTGCAAAGACGGGGGCAGCGGGTGCTGAGGCTCTGTCTCTGCTGCTGAAGAGACCTTGGGACCCAGCAGTGGGTGTCTTGTCCCATAATAAACCAGTGAGTACCTCTTGGGGCTTGTGGGGAGTGAGAGGCTGGTCTCACGTCAGCTTTATTCTTCCCATCCTTTTGCTGTCGTCTTCCTTCTGCCTCTCTCTTGCTTCCTGGGCTCTTTAATGTCTTCATTAATGACTTGG